TTCAGGTAGCTCAGCTGGTTAGAGCAAAGGACTGAAAATCCTTGTGTCAGTGGTTCGAATCCACTTCTAAGCGGGCGAAGGGAAAAAAGGACACGTAGCCGGGAGCGAGCCGGATTTTGAAATTCAAGTGAAAAACGAAACCAAAAAATTGGAGCGCTCCTACACTATACGGCTTTTTGGCGCCGCCCTATCTTGCTGGAGGCAGATTAAAAAAAAGCGGTTGATTACTCGGATTGGTTCTCGCATCCCTGTGCCAAAAAGGATGGGCGAATTCGGTTTGAGTGTTCATCGATCGGGCGGATCTATATGCTCCGGGGTGGTGAGAGACCGAGGTGTAGCGCAGTCTGGTCAGCGCATCTGTTTTGGGTACAGAGGGCCATAGGTTCGAATCCTGTCACCTTGATGTGATGGGCTGAAGTGCGCAGCCCTGCAGGCTATAAAGGCAGGCGAAAAAAACGCACATGAGAAAGAACGAAGAAGTAAGGAAATGAGACGACTCTTTCTTTCACTATATCATAAACAGATCTTTCCTTCTACACCAATCACGAGTTTTTCTCTATTCCTCTCGTATATCGTCGTAACGCCCTTAATGCTAGGTTTTGAAAGAGACTTTTTATGTCATTCCCATTTAGGTCCGATTCGGATCTCTCCGTTGTTTCCTTTTCCTTCTGCACCTTTTCCTCGAAATGAGAAAGAAGATGGTACACTTGAACTGTATTATTTAAGTGCTTATTGCTTGCCAAAAATCCTACTTCTACAATTGGTAGGTCACTGGGTTATTCAAATAAGTTGTGTTTTCTGTGGTTTTCCCATGTTACAACTTCTGTACCAATTCGGTCGATCCGGAATGGATCGGTTAAACATTCTATTAGGGAGCCTGGTCTTGACTCTTCTGTGTGGTATTCATTCTTCTTCGGCTCTTGGAATCACATCCAGCAGTGGTTGGAACAGCTCGCAAAATCCAACCACTTCACCTACTTCATTGCCCCCAACCCTTTCTCGTACTTCTATTGAAACAGAATGGTTTCATGTTCTTTTATCGATTGGTTATTCCTCTCCATTCGTATCTCTTTTTCCAATTTTGGTCTCGATTAGTTCACAAGATTGAATGGCAAATTCTCCGCCCCTCGATTCGATTGTTTTCCAAGAATGTTGAGCCGGGTATGTAAGTCATGTATCTGAGAGGAAGGACAAGTTGGTCAGCCGGTTAGTTGAGAATCTATAACAGCTGCTACTAGAGCTTCGGCTTCTTCCTATCCTTTAACGGAATAGAATAGGGTTGTTTATTGGTCACCTGTGAGAGGAACTAAGGGGAAGGAACTTTTTTAGTTAGCAAGACTAGCAGCTCTTTTATCACTAAGCGGTGCAGGTGAGAGAACTGGGGGGCTTTTCCCACTCCTCTTTGCTTGAAAAAAGAAAATATTACTTCGCTATATTTCTCTGAGCTCCTAGGCAAGAGATCCTACTCCCTAAGAAGAGTCATTAAGAGAGAGGGCGTTAAGCTTTAAAGGAGTTCGTGCTGAGCTTCGCTTTTTTAAAGGAATTTCCTTTGGGAGTGCCCCATGCTAGTAATGAACCTGGTAATATAAATATGCTCAAGCAACCCCGGTAGCTAAACTCATCTTAGTAGCAGATGGTAAAATCTTTTGGGCTAAGATCGCTTCAACAACCCAAAAAAATTATGGGATTTTTAAGGATTATAATAATTGGTTTAGTACTAATTTGGGGTCTTCTTTTTTGCAGGATGATATTTCGTGGAGATTGTGGTTTGGCATCACGACGTGGATGCTATGGCAGAATAGAAAAAGAAGGAATTTGAAGAAGTAGCCTAAAAGGAAGAGGTCTACATTAGGGAGATTTCTGCAGAGAGTTATTAAGTAATGAATTCCTCAGTAGCCTTTGCAGCTAAGATTCTGTTACACCCGCTATCGAATCAGCTCTTGGGGGATATCATAGGTAAGAATGAAGCCAATGTTGGTGAAGGTCCTTCAAAAAGGGATTGACCTAAGGCAAGGTTTACTTATCCTGGAGGAAGGTGGAACTTTGACACGAGCAATTGCGTATAGAAGCATATTGTTTCGATTGGATAGGTGCTCTTTATCCTCGACCTTTCAACCACTGGCCTTAGCCTTGCGCTTGTTTGCGTCCACCACTTAAGAAAGAAATCGAATATATGATCGCACATGAGGATTTTATCGGTAGTTCGCGCTTGGTGGTCGATAGGCATGCCATTTGAACGCTTTTTCATAAACAGCGACGGACACGATAGCTTGAAAGACAGGGTTGTGTTCAATGAGCTCCAGTTCTGGTTCGTTCTCCATCTCATACTTCTTTTGAATCTGTGTTTAACCGCCTTGGTGGCATGATTTCACATCTTTCCTTTCCGCTATAGATAAGCTTTTGATGCCATCGACCCGGCTCTTCTTTACACATTCAAAGAGTGGCCAAGCTAAACAAGCAAGCCAGACAAGTTCAGTGAGAGTAGTTCTGTTAGGCCTTACCTTAGGCTGACTCTTTCAAGGCAGTTCCGGGAGTGAAGGTTGCCAAGTTCTCTTTGCCGTTAGGACCGGTCTGAAAGTGCAAGACTAGTTCTCTCTCCTAAGCCCAATGAGAAGACAGAAGAAAGTTAGCAAGCAAAACTGAGATTAACGGGTTTGGAAAAGAGAAGATATGGATTAGAGTCTTTCCTCGCATCAAGCTAAATTGAGAATTAAGACCTCGCTCCACGCTGAGAAATTTCGTAAGAGAGAGACGCTACCTTTTTAGTTTAGTTGCCGCTCCAGATCTTCAAGGTGATTTGGATCAATAGAAAATAGGAAGAGGAGAAAAAGAAAAGTAATGGAGTTCAATGAACTTTTTAATGCCGTGGTACCTTTTCTTCTGTAGTAGGGCCTTTCCCTTGCTATCTTAGACCAGCCTAAAAAGCCTTGGCCCATTCCTTATTCTTAAATGGGGAGTCATTCTTAGTGGTCCAATTCCGGTCTGGCAAGGAATCAAATCAGTACGTAACTGAGGCAAGGCAATCGTTTCTTTAAGTCAGTGTGCTCCAGTCTAGGTATTTTATTTAGAACCCCTTTGTAAGGGAAAGGGAAGTCCGGCTAACTCTATATTTTATTTACTATATAGGATAGGGGGCAGGTCTCATTCTGTTGAAAGTGTTCGTAGCGCTGCTGGTTTAGTTCCCCACTCGGATTGTCGGGGGAGGGGAATTGCACATTTGGTTTGAAACTCTCTATCTAAGAGTCTTAGGTTCTAGAAAACCCTATAGATAGTAAGATGCAAGCTTAGTTGAGTTCAGTTACGCCAAGTAATTGCATATAGAGAAGTGAAGTAGCCGTTGAAGCAATAGAAATTTCATAAGAAAAGAAAGATCGTAACGTAAATAACAATAGCGCAAAAGCCATAGCACAGCTTCTTCTCTATACGGAAACTTGCTTCTACTTTTCAAAGTCGAGATTTTATTGTGTTCAGTATCGTAGATAGAAGATCATTCCAAGTGAGATGTCCAAGATCAAAGGATGGAGGAAAAGTACCAGATCTACTTTCTATTTGTCTGAAATCGTCCCGATATCAAGGCTTTCTCGAAATGAATTAAGATAAGATTAAGTAAGGGCGCTATGTTCAGATTCTGAACCAAAGCACTAGTTGAGGTCTGAAAGTCTTATGAAGAGAAGGTAAGATAAGGGGAAGAAGCGGGGTAGAGGAATTGGTCAACTCATCAGGCTCATGACCTGAAGATTGCAGGTTCGAATCCTGTCCCCGCCTAATCATCTGAGGCCGTAGTAAGCCTCCAGATGCTTGGGCGTCCAGTCACTCTGTGACTTGGAGTTAGTGGTGATGAACCACTATGCCTCTTTACTAGCCATGTGTTGGTGAGAGGCCCCATGGGGCGCACTCACAGTTGCTACTATCGATCGACCCGGAGCCGACCGAAGGTCCTTAGTAGCGATTTGTTGGGTTACCTAGTTATGACCTTGATGCACGTTGGTGCATCGGGATGCACTGTTTGATGCGGAAGCCCAGCGAGAAAGGCCCTGACCCTGCCATGTTCTGCACCCTCTATAATGAGCTATTTCACCCGTACTTAGAGGACTGGTGGTATACTTTGATCGTGGGCTATAGCCATTCGTTAAACGACCACGTTAGCCACCTCCGGGCCGTAAGGTGTTAAGGAAGAATCACCTCTATGTAAAGAAAGAGAAAAGCTTCTACTAAAGCAAGACTACCGGGGTCGGTTAGTAAGGAGGGCAGAATCATCAGCATTAGATTACACATGAGCATAAGAAGTTTTTGGTTTTCCCACAAACTGAGTAAGATAAAAGGGGTCCGCCTACCTAACTCAACTCGATTAATAAGAAATGCTTGCAGCTCTCGCCGCACTATCTCTTGCTCGTTGCTTGGCGGAACGAACGAAGCTATTGGAAGCCGCTTTCTAATACGAGAGTTCATCTGGACTTACTATTCAGGTACTAAGAGCATCTTTGAGCTTCTTTCCCTGCCTGTCTGCTGCTTTGTCTGACTATTAGTCCTAGTCCTACTCTCTTTCCAACCCTATCTTCCTTATTTCTTTTCCGAAAGCCTAGAAGCAATAAAGATTATTTCTAAGTTAAGTGAAGGAAAAGTAGTTCCGGTGAACAATTCAGTAAGGCGATGAGAGAACAAAAATTCATCCCTTCAAACAGACTTTAAAGAAAGGCCTTTTAGGGGTCGTGCTCGTGTGTGCGAAAGTGAATTCCTCTGTCCTGTGCGAAGCCAACCACAATACGAGTAGTCCTCTCCATTGCTCTAGGCCAAGGCCAAGGCTGAAAAAAGAACTCAGCTGTACATATGCTCTATATTAGAAATCTATCTTCCACTGTCTTGCCTACCCGCTTACCCGAGAAGAGAATCAAGCTATCCCAGAGACAACTACTATAAGTAAAGTATTAACCAGGGACTTCTACTCAAACACCAGGGACTGATATGAAGACTGGTGGAAAGCGGAATCGCAATACGGGGACTTCTTCCTATAGATACCGGAGAGATAAGATCTCAAGGAAGCTTTGAACTACTTCCACGTAAAGAAAGATTTATAGATAGTATTACCGGAATGAAACTACTACTAGCGGGACCAAGAGCCGAAGCGCGTGAGTACGCCGTCCGTCAGTAGATCCGTGTTGTTGTTGTTCTTTCCTCCTAGTGGTGGAACCGGTCATCAATAGCAAAAAGAAGAAAAGAAGGAATTCGTCCAGTTACAAAGAACCATGTTGGGATTGAGTTGAGCCCTTCCTTATTGGCGCCGCTCTTAGGGGATGATTCCCTATCTTATAATAAATCCCGTTACTTTCTTATTTGAGCTAGGCTGTTGAGTTAAAGTAAGCGAGCTAGTCATACGAGCCAGTGAGCTAGGCAGCTTGCTGTAGTTGCTACGGGAAACTGGAGTGAAACGAGTTGGCAGTAGAGACTGAGGGCTAAACATGTCGTTGGAACGCTTTAACAAGGCCGTTACGGAGATGCGAACAAAGCAAGCCGCAGCTCGCGATCATAGGAGCTATGGACTTAAGCACTTAGAGCTAATCGTCTCCTAGCGCTTAGTCATATGAGGGGAAATTTCCTTCTTGAGGTCGTTGCAGGACTCGATGTCGTGGCCGTGATCATTATGGTATGCACAAAAAAGCATTTCGATTACCACGCGAGGAGCCATCCACATTGAGCTTGCTTGAGAGCCAAATGAATCGAAAGATTCGTGTTTGGTTCGGGAGGGGATTATGAAAGCTTTTAAATGAATGGAAAGACAATCGAAAGCATTGAATACTATTCGAAATTCAGAAGAACTCCGGGAAGGGGCCTTTGAACAGTTGGAAAAGGCCCAGGCTCGTTTACGGAAAGTAGAAAAATAAGCAGATCAGTTTCGAGTCACTGGATACTCTGAGATAGAGCGAGATAAATGGAATTTAATTAATTCAACTTTAATATAAGGGCTTAAATAACGAGCTGAGAAGCTAACAGTACTAGGGCGCTGCTTAGAGTAAGAAACCAAACCTTTAAGTAAAAAAAGTTCAATGTGTGGCCATTTAGTGTAAGTTGCTTTCTGGCAGTTTCTTTACTTCTACTTCCTTATTCTTGCGAGCTAGTAGCAAGACAAGAGTGGCTACTCCAGTGAAGTAGAAAAGCATCCTAGACCGAGTCTAAGTAGTTGTTCCAATCCCAATTGTTGCATTCCCATCTCGATGCAGTCCCTGCCCTTGTAGGCTAGTCCGGTCTCCGTAGTCAGTCTATTGTAGGAATTACCTCGTACCATTGCATTGAGTCTTTCCTCATAGTGTAAAGATATCCCATTCTCGCAGGCCCCGCCCTATAGGAATCATCGAATCAATGGCAATAAGCCCTGTTTGTAGAGGCTCATATACTCGCCCTTTTATATAGTTTTGTATACTCCACTCTTTCCCCTTTCCTGTTATGAATGCGGCTTGCTACGACTATTTTTCTTGACTATTTATTATAGCGTTGTCAAGTTTGCTTGGTCCGGTTCATGTGGAGATGCCGGTGAACTCCTCAACTCATATTCTCTGTGTTATCCCTATTGTTTGTTGTTTTATGGTTTCTTTGGTGTGGTAGGAATGAAGCAAGGTTTCAGGGTCTCCTTTCCTAGCAAGGAAGGTGATATATGCTGTGGATCACTTTCTCGTTTTACTTGGTGCCTCTAAGCCTTTGAATCGAAGTCAGGTCCATGGAGATTTTATGTTTATATCTCTTGGTTCTTCCGTCTTAAACCAGCACCAGTGTTCGCCCAATTTGCTGGATTCTCCAGGTTTCTATAAATGGAATACGGACGCTAGTGTTCGGAACAGGCTGCTTCGGGTGGGGGAGTACTTAGGTCTTCTTCGCCTTTTATAAGGAGTTTAGAGAATTAGAAGTGTTATCAGCCGAGGCAAGTGCTTTGTTATTTGGCTTGCAATTGTGGACAGAGGCTTTAACCAAAAGTTCGGTAAAGTCTTAGAATAGACGGTTTAGGTATTCGTTCTTTAAGATCGTTTGTTGTAAGGGAGTAGTAATCCTTATTTATAGCTTTAGCATTATCATGTACTGGAGGTCAGGTTTATGTCCCCTTCCTATCGTTTTAATTAGGCTTCTTTGGATTTCCTTTTTTTTTAGGATAATTCTTCTTCCAAGTCAAGTGACCGGGACTCTTACCCTCTCTGGCTCACTGACTAGCTAGCTTGCCTAAAGCCCTGATCTGATGGAAAGACTTTTTTATGCTGGCTTGAGATGCTACTACTTGAAATGCTTAAAAGACTCCTGCTTTTTCACTAGCTTGCTCAGTGGATAGAACCGGCCTAGACCGTCACCCAATTTATAACTCACTTGTTTTAACAAAAATCTTCAATTCTTTCTCCTCTTTTAAGAAGTAGCTGCTACTGTGATCATATCAGCTCAAGCAAGCCTGACTACTCTCATCGACTACTCAAAACTCAACTCATACACAGGTAATCGGTCCTACTTGAATAGGCGCTGTACCGGCTGCGAACTCTAAGGTTTGGCTTTATATTTACTTTATTTAGTCAATATCGCATGGTATACATCTTCTAGTCGGCAGGGCGCGGATCTATGAATAGAAGCTGTTGTACGGGTATCTACCGGACCTAAATTATCAACAGGCTCTCCAAGCACCAACAAGCCGATGTACCTACAAGCGAAAGACCAGACCAATGAAACGAAAGACCGCCTTTCCTGCGTATGCGTGCCGTTGACTCCTCTACTTAATGTGCTCTTTATTTCATTTAGAGTTCCGAGGCTTTGACGTGCTCATTCCCTAAAAACCACTGGAAATATACCTAGTATCAGTCTGTCTCTTCGACTTGTCTTATATACTAAAAATGACTATCTTCAAAATTGCGTATATATAAGATAAAGAGTGGCTCGTGCATCTTTTAGACAAAGTAGACAAGAGTATTGTTATAGCATGAGCAATTACTTTAGTTCTGGAGTTCGAGCGGGGTAGCATTCTGGTCGTAAGCAAAGCCCGGCCACATATCCTGTTTATTTAGTCAGTTGCATATTTGTAAGCATGATTGTAGCAATACAAATAGGCGCGGTAGACGAAGGAGCTGTTTTCAACAAATTGGGTGCCAGGCTGATGAAAGCCATCCTCATACATAATGCCCTTCGTGCCTAAAAGGGCTTTGATAGGGAAATGCTCTTGTTGTCGTTTCAGATGCGATTAAAAAGCCTTTTTTATCAAGCGTAGAGGAAGATGAAGATGCAAATAGAGATGCGGAAGTTCCTGTTGGAGTTGGAAGTGAACATGACTCTTGCAGAAGGATGAAATGCTGTAAATATGATTCCGTGGGTACTCTCTGCTCGCTAGGAGCTATCTTTCTTTTGGGGGTGTATAGATCAGTTGGTAAAGCATTGGGCTTTTAACCTAATGGTCGCGGGTTCAAGTCCTGCTATACCCAAACCTTACTTTTCCCTTGGTCAACAACCAAGAAAAGCTTTCTATCTTTATTGACTACTCTTACAGGCTTGACGGACTTAAGGTAAGGAGGGAGAATAATCATTTTAGACGAATCAATCATGCCTCAATTGGATAAATTCACCTATTTCACACAATTTTTCTGGTCATGCCTTTTCCTCTTTACTTTCTATATTGCCATCTTGTTGTGGTTTCCTATGGAAATAGAAATATGCTGTTTCCTGCTTTCAAGAAAGAAGGTTTTAAAACTTTTTCAAATAGGAAAAAAGTGCCTTCTTTTCTTTTTTTTATTCAGTATTTTTAGTAAAATAACAACTGACATATATTGTATCATTTTCCATGATTCCTTCCCTAGGCTTCCGGGCCTAGTGTGTTGGATGGATGATCGGAGCGATCCAGATTTGGATCTTAGATTGGGTCAGCCCAACCCGATCGGAATCGATCTGAACCTGCCTCCGGATCCGGAGCCTGAGCCTAGGCCGGAGCAGCAACCTAGGTTATCCAGGGAGGAATTAAGAGCGGAGTTGAGGAAGACCGTACTCAGTCTTCGCGCTTATAAGGGGCGCCTTCAGTATTGGGAAAACCAACTTGCGATTTCGCAAGAACTCGAACGAAGGAGCAACGAAGCCCGCCAGTTACACGGGCAACAAATAGAGGTATGGGAATTCCTTACAAGACGTAGAAGGTGACAATCCGTTGCTACCCAAAGATATTGCACTAGAATATTAGAGGGCCTGCTAAAGGCCGTAGCGTAAGTAACACAGTGCTCCATACGGGGGAAATGAAAGCAGAATTTGTTCGGATCCTCCCACATGTTCAATCTTTTTTTAGCGGTTTCCCCAGAGATCTTTATCATTAATGCAACCTTCATTTTACTCATTCATGGAGTTGTTTTTAGTACATCTAAGAAATATGATTATCCACCGTTAGTCAGTAATGTGGGTTGGCTTGGATTACTTAGTGTTGCGCGCCTAGGAGGGCAGCGCGGTTTGGGATGCGGAGGAGCTATTATCGTCCAGTTCCCTAACCTAATACGGCACCGGGTTTGGACCGCAGGGAACCATAGCATGGGGGGACGTCTAATCCTTTTGCCGCCGCAAGGCTGGCTAATCGTACGCAGCAGGCTCGAAGACCCCTGGTTATGGAAGGCACATGAGTCCGAACGCTATGTTGAATGTGCGACCGACATTAGACTATGTAGGTACCTGTGCAGGTGAGGCGTCGGTCGGTCCTAGAAACGGCGGCAGCGTCGCGAGGAATTAACGGCCGGACGTGCTGCAACCTAGGGATCACCAGGCAGCTCTTTCGCTCTATAGGGATCTGGGGGGCATAGCACAATTCTTCTTGGAGGAGGGTTGTTTGCCCGGGTGACTGATCCTGCCATAATTGACTCCTACCTATAGCACCGGCAACCGAAGTCGAGCATACATAGGACGATCTTCATGCGTAAATAGCCGGGAGGAAAGAAAGGGCGGTAGATGATAATGAGAAAGGGCGCAATGAATGAGCGAAAGGTGTCATGCCATGGAGGAGGGAATATCCCGA